TGTACAATCACCTCCAAGCTGATGCCGTAAGCTGGCAACATACACCTGTCAATTTCTTTCATTCAAACCACAGGCTGAACAGAAGACATTTACGCGATTCCACCATCAGCGAATTGCCGCTGTTTGGATTGTATTCTGACAAGTGCTGCCGGCACCTGTCAGAATACCCAAAGCAGGCAGCTCATTGGCTGCCAGCTCTGATCGTATGAAGATTTTCCAGCCTGCTCCTTCGATTAGCTGATCGAGGAATGCCGGCTGAAAGGGAGCCGACAGCCCCACACACTGGCCGAATTTCGTCCTGTACATTTAAACCGGCTGAAATTCCAGTGTATGGGAACCTTAATACACACATTACTCACCAGATCTCAACGACTCCTTATTGATAAGAAGGTCAGAAGTGCCTCATATATATATCCTGATCGACACACAACAGTCCCAGGTCCAGTGTATATTGGAGACATTGCCTAATAAGAAAAAAATGCCCATCGTGGAAACCTAATAAAATCGTTCATTTAAAACAATACTAAAAACACTCACACTTGATATCAGCACAGAAAAAGTATACATTGAGCAATGAACTAAGGCTAAAATTTAGCACCCTTTCCCACCTCAACCTAACCACTCAACCATCACGTACGTTCTCAAACAATTCATCCCCACACAGCTACCTCCTCATGTATCACTTGCCCCCCCCCCCCCTTTTAGACTGTAAGCCCTCAGGGGCAGGGCCCTCCTTACAATGTTGTCTTGAATTGTATTGTGATTGTAATGTCCTTCTTATATTGTAAAGCGATGTGCAAACTTCTGGCGCTATATAAATCCTGTATAATAATAATTAGAAAGGACAAGACAAGAACATTGACAAAAAAAATTGTTTTAGGTACAAACACTGCACACAGAGATAAGACCAGAATAATCTTTTATTTATAGCATGATAAAAGTTATGTCAATCTTGGTAGCCTTACAAAAATAAAAACTCAAAAAGACATAAAAATGACAGTATAAGCCCGAAGGAGCAAGCACCAAAAACATTTAGAAACAAATAACATTTTTAGTACCAGTTTCTTTTTAGCCTTTCTATTCCTTGCCCCTTTGGTCAAATGTTTTGCCAAGAAATGCCAAAGGAGAGTTTTGCCATGAAGATGTGTTGGGCCGAGAGACCAACTGTCCATCAGGATTCGTATTTTAGATCTGCGGAAGACCCCCGCTAGGGTTATCTCACCCAAAACTGATTTAGGTGTTTGGTAGACGCCAGAGAGTTCAATGACCCAAGGCCTTCTTGGATGTCTCAAGGACTGTGGTGCTGACTATGGACTTTTGAGGCCTTAACTCTGACCAAGACTAGAGGTCTTCACTCTCTCTTGTTTTGTTTATTACTACGTGTGTAGAATACAGCAAGAAGAGTCAGAGTCCAAGGTCAGGTGAACAGCGCCAGCATATATGGTGTAGGGCCTTGGGAATGCAGCTCACGGAAGAGAACAAGGAACTGAGGAGTGACCCAACCTATCAGCGTTTACCAAAATATGACATATTGATTTGTGTGGTTTGACTCTTCAAATGGCTGGAAATCAAAGCAGTATAAATTATTTAATTGAGCACTGATAGAGAAGAGAAAAAAAGTAAAGTCCTTATTAAAACTCTGTATATGACAACTTTGGGGAAAGTAGAAAGACTGCTAGCAACCAAACTGTTGTTGTAAACTCCAGCAATCCCAAACTTGCTTAAAGCTACCAAGTTTCTAACACTATGAAAGGGCATAGACACAGCTAAGCCAGCTGGTGTAAATATGTACTGATACTCTAATTACCGAGCCTCAAATTGCACTCACCATGGTCTATACATATATGCACTCTCTCCAAGGTGTAACCTTAGCGTATGGAGAGCAGCCAGACATAGCTGCCCTCTACAGACCAGCTCAACCAATTCGCTCAAAAAAAAAAACAAAGCTCTCCTGTCTCCTCATATTTACCCGAAATGGGTCCTCTGTCTTTTTGGGCCCTGGAGCATGCAGCTCAGACAGTATTCTAACCTTGAATTGACACACTTGGTGGTACTTTTACTCCGTATAAGTCTTTTGATCCGGAGAACATGTTAGACTCCTACAAACTGAAATTTTAGAAACCAGAAAATGACACACATGTCCTAATCTGGCTATTTTATTTCAAACAAATTTGATAAACGAGGTCCTTCTAGTGGTGTCCGTGCTTCTAGCATGCAAGCCTAAATAGCATGTTTGGGCATGTACATGCCAATGTCAGGTGTAAGAGATAAAAGACATCTGTTTTTGGATAGTAAACATCTCATCAGTCTCTCTCTGGGCCTGGTAAGGCACACACAATCCTCATAATGAATCTCTCATTACATATACCAATACTTGTCAATAAGAAATGATATGCGACACATTATAGAAACAAAAAAGAAAATTAGGGTCAATACAATTGGGTACATAAGACATTTTTGCTAGGGAAGGGTGACTTATTCCGAAGCCAACAAGTCCACAGCATCAACCAATACATACCTTAAGGCTAGATTTATACCTTTGCGTTTTTGGTTGATGCGTTTAAATGAATGGAAATACATCAAAGTGCAAGTCAACGAATCCGTTAATACGCACCTCAATGCAACAGGAGAGTCAATGCATGTTGATGTGTTAAAAAACAAAAAAACAACACATAGGTGTGAATAGGCCCTTATAGTACAATTAAACTTTCAATTTAAATTCACTAAAGACATTCCAGGTGCATCAGAACAAAAGGTTTACAAAGTCTTACATTTTATTTTCTTTACAAATCAACCACAGCCTGAGTAGATAAGCCTGTCCCCTGCCAGCATGCGCCACAGTAGGACCCTTGCTCCCTTTGTGAAAGCAGTATCTTTGTAGAGGTCCAACAAGTCCCCCCATCCTCCCCCCGCTCATGTTTCCTGTTGATTGGAAAGCTCTAGCTCAGCAGGGGGCGTTTGGACCTCTGCTCCTGACCACCTATCACGACAAACATTTTTAGGTGCACTGTCTACAGGGACGTGCCCTTCGGTTATTTCTTCTACCATTTCTTGTCTCCTCTAAATAAAACCATGACAAGTGGCAAGAGTCAACTTGCGAGTGACTTTTACACTGAAACTTCCCCTTTTAGGAATATGCAATTTATATTTAAAATGTATCAGGAAGTAGAGGAGGAGGGAAAAAAGTTGGAAAAACAAACACTCATTCTTCTGGTGAAAACATTATATAAAATGGGGAAAATGCACAACTTTAAGTTGCACAATTTAGGAAACACATAAGTAGAAAGAAAACCCACACCACAACAAAGACTGATTTGCCAACAAGGACAGTAGAACAAACATGAAACAAAACTTTTACATGTTAAAGAACGGGTATTTCCCTTTGGTTCTGGTGATCAAACAGGGGCAGGAGATAAAAAGAAAAGGTGAGGATGTGCTGCTGAGGAAGGGGACAGTTAAGAGAATCAGTTGCTTTGCCTCACATTGGGAAAACTGGCAAAAATAAAACATTTTATGGCAGCTATAGAGGTCACTGCCTACTTGGACAATATTTTCTTCTTCTGTAAAGAGATCCTGTCAGTGTCCAAAAAGATCAAAATGCAAAATAAAAGCTTTTATATTCACCTTTCTGGCAGCATGTGTACCTGGTCTTCATTCCAGTGTTGTAGCCCCTGTAAGAATCATCTCCATTTCCAGGAGGGTTGGATGCCAGTGTGTCACCTCAATGTCAGTACAGAGCACAGCATTGATTTAGGGGTTTGAGGACAGAGTCAAGGCCCATGGTGGGGGATCACAGGCATTCCACACATCTGGAAGTGTCAAATGGCGAAGAGTCTTACAGAGGCTGCAGCACTAGAGGGTAGGAGACACTGTCGTAGAGGAGATTAAATACCTCTTATTGCAGCAAACTTTTTGACAGGGTCTATAATAATTTTTGACAGGGTTTATAATGTCCTACATTAGGTCTCCATCTACCATAAACATGCCTTAAAATAAACCCATAATGGGAACAAGCAACATGGACGGCCATTGACAGTCAGCATTCAGTTCCTACATTAGGAACCCGATATGTTTTAATACAACACTGTATTCTGAGTACGTCAGCTGCGGCACAACACCCCAGTATTAGTTGCAACGCTGTCATCATCTCGCAATAGGTCACGGAAGTGGCTGCATTGCATCTTGGGTTGGGGGTGGTGGGGTAGTTGTGCTAATGCGCTGACTATAGAGAGTGCCCTGGGATTCCTACGGTGCACAAGAACCTAACATGACTATAGAGAGTGCCCTGGGATTCCTAGGGTGCACAAGACATCGTGTGCAAGAACCTAACATGACTACAGAGTGTGCCCTGGGAGTCCTAGGGTGCACAAGACATCGTGTGCAAGAACCTAACATGACTACAGAGTGTGCCCTGGGAGTCCTAGGGTGCACAAGACATCGTGTGCAAGAACCTAACATGACCATAGAGAGTGGCCTGGGAGTCCTAGGGTGCACAAGACATTGTGTGCAAGAACCTAACATGACCATAGAGAGTGGCCTGGGATTCCTAGGGTGCACAAGACATTATGTGAAAGAACCTAACATTTGCAGCAACTGGAAGATGCCTTCTATTGCTCCACTACCTTGGTTCATATTAATTCTTGGCCTTGTCTAATCACCTCTTTTACCACGAGGCTTACAAGCTATCTTTGCTTAAAAATATAAAAACAAAAGGGACACAGAGTTTGTCGCTCATATTTTGCTTTCTCATAGATGTTATTTCAAGCTCACACAATGGCTGCTCTTACACTATGCAGAAGACAGATACTCTTTATACAACAACACAAAAAAATATATAATTTCTGGGCACGTGAAGCTAATTACAGATTTGTTTTCTTACACATGTATTTAGCGCAAAGACATTACACATAAATAAACCAATTTTCTTATGATATATTACATTTAACACGGACGGCTTAGTAAAGGCCATATCCAGGTTAGTCCTTTTTTTATTTCAGCGTCATCAAGGATGATCAGTTGCAGAGAAGAGAGTGGACTCTGCAGGCATTTCTTAGAATTACATTACTGGGATGAAGCACATCACTGAAGCAAATCAAAGCCATGACATATGTGCAAATTCTGCCATGAAGTTTGCGAGATGGCAGGGAAGGAGATCTCCCCCCACTCAATACTGCACACTAGGAATACACAGGTAGCAGCAAGACTGGTGTATGTTCTCTCATCAGACTGCGAGAGATGTCCCTGTGACTAGAGCTTCTTCAGCTATAAATATGGGGTGGTTCATCAGGGTGAGCGGCGGGAGAGGTTTAGAACTCCTCGTGAACGTTCCGCGCGTAGTCCATCAGTTTGCTGCCTGTAAAATACTCGCTGTACTTTAGGATTTCCTCTAGATCCAGATTGTGGTCTTGATTTTCATCTGCTACAGCGATCATCTGTTTGGCTTCGTTCAGAGCGTTGTATTCGTTCATGGGGTCCATGTATTCCTGCAAAAGTGCAAAGAGACAAATTTCTTTGGTTTTTCAGACCAGAACACAAGATCTGAGTTACACTCGAACATGATCCGGGTCAAAGATACAAACTTTAGAGGGCAGAAAGAAGATGGGCAGGCTTCGGGGGATCAGGAAGGACATTTTCACTGCTGGAGATATTTGGACCATGCTTTATAGGGGTTTATTTTGCCTTTCTCTGATCAACTGGGAGTTAGGGTTCTGTGGATGTAATTTTTTTTTTCTCTATTGGTGAACTCGATGGACATGTCTTTACATAGTCAGGTTGAAAAAAGACACATGTCCATCGAGTTCAACCTATAGAGATGAAAAAAAAACAAAAAAACCCTAAAACAGAACACTATGGCCACAATTACCCACTGTTGATCCAGAGGAAGCCAACAGGGGAAAAAAAATCCTTCCTGATCCCATAAGGCAATCGGATATTCCCTGGATCAACAATCCCTGGTGTCTAATATACCTAAAGAACTCAATATCCAGTAATATTCTGTGCATTTAGGAATACATCCAGATTTTTTTTTAAAAACAGTTAAAGAACTATGGGGTCAGGGCTTTTCCCCATAGTTCTCCTTAGGGTAACGGGAGGACACAAACTAGCCTCCTCCCGTCACCCTAGGCTCAGTATACTGCGATCTGTAGGTCGCGGTATACTGAGACGCTGCAGTCAGATCGGAGGGGGAATCCAGCCCCTCCCCTGTCACGGCAAAGAGCCGTGACAGGATCGAGAGGTGAGCGAACGCCGGTATATGTTCGCTCACCTCCCGATCTACTGAGCCGACCTGTAACAGTCTCATTGACAGAGGTCGGCTAGAACTATGAGGTGATTGAAAAGCACTCGCCTCATAGTTCTCCTTTAACTGAGCTAGTGAGAACTAGTTCCTGGGGGAGTCTATTCCACATTATCATAGCTCTAACTGTGAAAAATCCTTTGCATATGCAAAGATTAAACCTCTTTTCCTCCAGATGCAAAGAGTGCCCCCTTGGCCTTTGCAGTGACCTTAAAGTGAATCATTTGGCACCAAGCTCACTATATGGACCATTTCTGTATTTTACAGGCTGACTTACTATGTATCCCGGTTGTGTCCAGACCGGCTGTAGGGTGACACACACAGACAGACACACACACTTCATTATCAAAAAGTGAGCACACCGTATGTAACCCATATAATAAAGTTGACTCCAGGCAAACAGCTAAACACACATGTGACATGCATAATGTATATAACAGATGCTTTACCTGCCCAAACACTTAGATTTTTGTCCATCAAGTCCTGAAACTTAACAGCTCTATCACGCAGCACAGTCCTGCTTGGCAGGGAAGCGGACCTACAGGTCTCTTCCTCACTATCATTCTGTGACTGGACAGTGAAAGGAGAAGCAGCACACTGATTCATTCATATCTCTGTCACTCTGCTGCTTTCTCCTATCAGCATGTAATTAACACTGCATCTTCTGACTCTTTGTGCTGCTTCTCCATCCCCCTTCTCTGAGCTCTGCTGCACCGGAACTGCAATAGGCCAACACCAAGTCAAATTCAGATGCTTACAATGATTGCATTAAAAAACACCTGTTTATCCCCGACTCCGGCCAGGTCTGGAAAAACCGTTGCACTGGACCTGGTCGTGTGGAATCAAGCGTAATCTGTTACCCTGGACTTGGACTTGTGTCTGTTTACATCCAATTTCCCATAGACCGACATGAGGTCTGGTCATTTCAGTTTTCTCCTCCACTGCAAGAGAAAACCAGATGGACACGCATGTCACAGTGGTGACATCTGATCCGTACTACTATGATCTGGAAAGGATTGGAGCACAGATCCCCTCCTGATAAGCCCGTGTGAAAGGGGCCTTAAGCTTTTCAAATGCTTTGACAAAACTTGCTGCATATACTTCTCTTTCACAAGTTAAGGCACAAATGTAATCAGACTGAAAAGAAGCAGCTAGTGAAGGGTAGGGGCTCTGTAGGCAGATATAAAATTTAGGTAAATTTGCTGGGGATTAAATTGGCCGCTTGTGTAACACCAGATGATCTTTTATGGCGTTTCTAGCACTGGTGAAATCACTGACCTCCAGCTCCTCTATGGTGACAATGTGATCATGGTTGGTATCAATCACTTCTTCAAACTCCTTTTTCCGGTCCCGCACCCAATCATCATCAATATCCTGGGCCTGCTGGTTCTCGACTGTGCCCACGGGTAGAGAAATGAACTCGGAGAGTGTCAGCTTCTTATCGCCATCCTGGTCTGTATGAAAAATAAAGAACTTGACATAAAAGTGCCAATAACACGAGTACATCAACTACACACATTATCGACCAATAAAACATGATGTCCAAACCAGAACTTCATGAATAACTCCAGAGAACTAGAGGAAACATTATTTCGTTGATTTGTCCATTTCTTCAAACCTTCTTGATTGTTTTCTTCTATTAGAACCCAAATCTTACTGAAGTGCCACTTTATTTTGCCTTCTCAGCAAGCCACTGTTAATGTTGCTTTAAAGGAACTGTGCTGTTCCTTTAAAGCCCAAATGAACCTCCAGTTTAAATCTGATTTATACATTTCAAGTACATCAAAACAAAAGGGGTGTAAAGTATGACAGTTGTTCACTAAAGGGTGAAGAGTATGGAGAAGGCCGGAGAAGTGAACAATCTAGGACAACATAGCTGAACTGAAAAGTGTTCCAAATCAGCTATGTTGTCCTAGATTGATCACTTAGATTGATCATTTCTCCTGCCTTCTCCAAACTCTTCACTCTGTTGTGAATAACTCTGCTAGAGTTCATTTTCTTTAGAAAGCAGCCACAGCCTGAGTAGAAAAGCCTGCCCCCTGCCAGCAACCAGAGAGCAAGGATCCTTGCTCCCTGTGCGATCTCTCTGCAGAGGTCCAACACCCCTCCAACCTCTCCTATAGAGTCAGAGCTCTCCAAATCAGCAAAGAACGTAGTACCTGTGGAATAAAAAGCTCTAGTTCTGACTCTGCAAAGACACATGGCAGTCAGGGAACACGCATTTTTGTTTTTCTCACGGCAAGCTTCCTTTAACTTAGAGAATTATGAGGCGAGTGATTTTCACTCAGCCTCATATTCTGAGCCGACCTGTGACAATGAAACTGTCACAGATCGGCTCAGTAGATCGGGAAGTGAGCGAACACATACCAGCGCTCGCTCACTTCTCGATCTATCCCTGCAGAGAGCCGTGACTGTCACTCACGGCTCTCTGCAGGGATTCCCACCCTCCCCTGTCCGATCCTCCAGCGCTGACTGGCGAAACGGACAGGGGAGGTAGCGGGCACAGCTGTCTCTGCCTCTGGATAGGCAGAGCCAGCTGTCAATCACGCAGCTGGGTGGATCCAGACAGTATTGTCGGGATCTGCCCCGGCTGAGGCGTCTCAGTATACCGCAAGCTGAGCTTTGGGTCACTGGAGAACGCTAGCTTGTGTTCTCCCATGACCCTTAGGAGAACTATGGGAAAAAGCCCTGACCCCATAGTTCCTTTAAAGAAAACCTGTACTGAAGGTTTTGTATGAATGTATGCTGCAATTTCTGACCTTCCCTTAATACTAGTTCCCTGGCAGGCACATTCACCTGGTGGCTTCCATAGCTGCAAAGCACTAATCTGGAACAAGTTTGCTGATTAGGATCTTTTCCATCACTCTGACGTTTGTCATTTGCATGCTTGCTCTGGCTTAAACAGCCAGGCAACTAGTATTGTAAGAAGTTCAACAATGGCAGCTACCACATTCCTCTCAACACAGCTTTTGCTTAGCATCTAAGCATGTTTGAAAGTGGCTACCACTGCTGACTTCCTCCAGGAAATGTTAGCGTACTGGTTGTTATGCTGACCCTCTGCTTTCATTGCTCTCTGAATCACTCACCTGGAACAAGTACGCAGAACAGGAAAACAAAGTATTAAAAGTCAAAGTATAGCAGCTGAGACGCTGCCACTTCCAGAAGGAGAAGCCTGCAGTAGCAGCCTCGTTGGCCATCTCATGCAAGATTCCTTTACTACAGGGTGATAGAAGGTATGTGGGCCCTGCACGACATATGCTGTAGTCAGCAGGTGGAAGCCACACACTTGGTTTTCCAGTAATAATTTACAATAACATGCTATTTTAAAAAAATGTGAACCTAGAATGAGGTTGTTGTTTATTAAGAATAAAAAGACTGATCTTTACATAGCATTAGTGCAGATGTGCATGGTGTGGTTGAAGCCTTGAGGAGGATGACTCATCACATCTGCAAAGAACTGCGGCGGTGGTGTCACTAGTGAACAGAGAAGTCAAAACGGCACAGTAATAAAATAATCATGCCACTGTACATTTATTACTGAGGTGCAAAACACTAATGGACCGGCTAAGGTCATAAGTGCACGTCTTTACTGGTGATAGCGGGCAGCAAGATCGTCTTTGCTTGCTTCGCTGTGCTGAACCTTGCTGGACGGACAAGGAGTATATCTATATCTTATTTTTCTCTATAACCAGGACTATTGACACCTGCCCACATAGAGATTTTCCAACATGGTGGATCATTTGTGTGTGCTAGAAGGAGCCTACCACAGTGTTTCTTGTTAGCAGTTCCATTGGGAAATCTTCAAGTTGCAAACAATGACGTGCGCACAATGATTGTAGCTAGGCAGTCCCCGGGTTCTGAACAAGATAGGGACTGTAGGTGCTATGAGGTGAGTGAAAAGCACTCACCTCATAGTTCTCCTTTAAGTTGAATTTGTATACAAGTTGTTTTGGTGTCTGTGCCCCTGTTCAGAACAAGCACGTGTATCAGATTTGTTTTGTGGCATTGTTACCGACAAACAAGTGGACAAGGAAGACAAATAAAAGTGTTCAGTACACTGTACAGTACATACAAGGTTATGACAGGGGTAATGACAGTCAGAGCCAACTTCCTGTTCAGTACCAGAACCGGAAGAGACAAGGCACTCACTAACAACTTCCTGCAGGAGGTACAGTACTACAATCCAGACCCACTACTTGTCTGCGATCGTCGGCACGTACACCTTTACTAGTGGAACGCTGCATGGTAACAGTGGCTGCAGTCTCAGACCTCGGTAAGTACGGGTTGTACGTAAGTCGGGGACTGCTGAGCCATTTATGAGCTGCTTCTTGTTTATCATGGTCACCCAATTTAAAAACTGTTCATTCTATGGATATTGATATAAGCTGACTGGCTGTGTGTGTATACGGATAAACTATTAGTATTGAAGACAGGAAGAAATGAAAGGTCAGTGCTACCAGAACCTGGCATGGCATTTATGGAAGAAGACATGGGCTCCATGTTAAACTTACTGGTACTCTTTTACTAAAAAAAGGTATTTAGGAGCTATAGCTGGTCTAAATCTCAGCACAGACTCAGGCCTATGGAGTCACCTCCAACTCGGTTCAAGCTTATGACCCTGTACACACGACCTCAGTATGTGAGAGAATGTGTGCAGCAAGCTTTGTTGAAGCCTTTAATGCAAACTTCAACTTAAGTTTGAGGATGTTAGAAATAGATCATAATGGGAATGTTGATGGTCAACTGAAACAAGCTGTTAGCAGGCTTTAAAGGATAACTATGAGGTGAGTGCTTTTCACTCACCTCATAGTTCTCCTTTAAAGGAGAACTATGAGGTGAGTGAAAAGCACTCACCTCATAGTTCTCCTTTAAAGGAGAACTATGAGGTGAGTGAAAAGCACTCACCTCATAGTTCTCCTTTAAAGGAGAACTATGGGGTTAAGGCTTTTCGCCATAGTTCTCCTTAGGGTAACGGGAGGACACAGATTTTTTTTTTTAAATAGTTAAAGGAGAACTATTCCCCGTAGTTCTCCTTAGGGTCACAGGAGGACACAATCTAGCGTCCTCCCGTCACCCTAGGCTCAGTATACCGCGAGCAGCAGCTCGCGGTATACTGAGCCTAGGGTGACGGGAGGACGCTAGATTGTGTCCTCCTGTTACCCTAAGGAGAACTACGGGGAATAGTTCTCCTTTAACTATTTAAAAAAAAAAATCTGTGTCCTCCCGTTACCCTAAGGAGAACTATGGGGAAAAGCCTTAACCCCATAGTTCTCCTTTAAACAAATTCCAAGTAGAGCGGAGGCCTACTGAAGTCTGCTCGCAGCTTATTTAAAAAGACAGTCAACAGTTCAATTCAGATATTCATTTTACATCCTAAACTGAGGCTGAAGAATGCTTTAAAAGCTTCAACAAAGCATCTTAAAGCCGTCAGTAAGCTTTGCAGGTGCTAAACCCTTGCTACGCACATTGTTCTTGTACAAGCTGAAGCCCATATGTACAAAGACTCAGGCTCCCCAACCCAGGCGTGTCTGACTCATGTTTTCAAACTCATGTCCAAACTATGTTTGTGTTGCTTCTGCATCCTTTGCCCATGAACACCCAGTCTTAAGCTGGCCATACACTGAACCAATTTCAACTAGCTCTTGATGAACCGGATTAAATTCATTTAGTGGATGCCCTGTAAGGACTCTACAGTGGGACTCATTCGATCAGAAAATGGAAGACATTGGACAGGAAATTTTGGGGTGCACCTTAACCAATCAGCTGCCATCACTGCTCAGGGATTCTCGCAACAGCACACCCACCAGAATACAACAGCCCAGTGGGAGATTTAGTTATTACAGGTATTTATAAAGCGCTGGCAATTTTTTACAGCGCTTTACATACTACACATTCACATCAGTCCCTGACCTCAAGGAGCTTACAAACTAAGGACCCTATCTCACATGCACACAGGGCCAATATAGGGTTGGTGCAGACTTGGGCGATTGGGACGCACATCCCGGGACTGCGCAATCGTGTGCAGTTGATTTCAATGGGGTTACATCTGCGCAATGGAGGAATCTGTTATATGTTTTTCATTCATTCCACAAAAAAACATTTAGGTGTATGGCCAGCTTAAGTGTAAGCAAGAGCATGATAAATATGACAATGATAAAATTCAGTCTTAGATGGGAAATTCTGTGCTTTACTCGCATCTATGACCTGTCGGCCCCTCCTTTCCTATACTTGTATGGAATGGCCTGTTAATTGACACAGCAACAGAAAAGAAATATTTTCCATAGGAACTCAGTCTTCATATAAAACCTGACAGAATTTCCCACTATATGTAGGCGTACAATACGAGTTTCTATCTGTACAACTTTCTAGCAGTACAAGATAAAGACAGTGAAAAGCACTCCAGCTCTAGATCCTTCCACACATACGACATACCGCTAAGATCACATGACCTTACTATACAAGGATTCTATACTTCTATAGACAATAACACTTCCTCCTACCCATCGTAGCAGCAGCAGCGGCAGCAGCTATGTGGTGCATTATCTGACTAAGCTGCACCTGGCTCTCAATGTTGGTGGGTGTATGTGGTGAGCCACACTTTCCATTAACTGGAATATGCAGAACTACCAACGAGACACCAACATTTGCATCAACGTTAAGACAAACCAAGCAAGGTTTCCAACTTCTTTAATTGTGCAGCAACATGCTTTATGCAGATACAGCAAAGAGGGCCCTTTGCAGAAAACCAGGGGAGGGAACCTTAGCTCCTACAGTAATCAATCAGATGCATTATTCTCTTGTAATGTCCCAGTGCAGGATGGGAGAATGAAAATGGGAATCTGTCTGATTGCTATGGGCAACAATAATGGCCCTCTCTCATATACTTATATATGAAGCTCAGGGATCTGGCATTGATGAATAATAGTAAGAGGAAAATAGTCATCCGCTAAGCTAATTTCCCCTTGCAGCTAAGATAAATTAGGTAAATTCTGCCACTGGTTGACTCCAACTCAACCTTTGGAAAAATTAATGAAGTCAATGGCACAGGGTGTTTAAAAAAAAATCATGCAGTTATACTTAAATCTTCTCCAGCGCTGTACCCTGAAGAAACACATCCAGTACTAGTCCTCCTCTGGGATGAACAGGTCTTGAAAAATCCGCTCTTCCTCTCGCCCGTGACGAGAGGACGCCGGAGCCAGAGTAGCTTTCCGGCTGGCCCTTGGGAGCTTTACATTCAAGCGATCGCTTGTATTCGGTTCGGTGCGGTTGCCACCCACCCTTTCTGCAGATCAAAAGGGAGATCTGTACACGATCTCCTTTCCGTCCCCGAATGCAGGAAGTGATGTATTTTACATCACTTCCGCACTCAGCTGTCATTCCCAGCTAGAGAAGCTGGTGAAGCAGATCTCTGCTTCATCAGCTTCTCTGGGGATCCCTAGGTGACATTAGGGGTCTTAGAGAGGTACTTTTTTCATTATGCAGTAAAAAATAAAAAACCCCCAGTGGTGATTAAATACCACAAAAAAAAGCGCTATCTCTCCCCAAAAAATGTTAACATAAATTGCAAGGCTGCTATAGTCCGGTCATGCTGATTGTTCTCAGTACAGAGAACATGATCATAAACAAAGAGGGGCAAGAACTAGTCCCTCAATGGACTGCAAGAAAAGGATTTAAGTAGGGATGCACCGATACCGGTTTTTCGGTATTAAGTAATGTTATTTTTGATTTTTTTCAGTACTCGCCGATACCAGAAGCCCCATTAAGGAAGCCGGGCAGCAAGTTATAACTCCCCCCGGCTTCCCGATTAGCAGGGAAGCTGTCTCCATGCTCCCTCGTCACCAGGTGACAAGGAAGCATGGAGCCGGCTTTCTGGTCAATTAGGAAGCCCGGCAGCATGTAATGACTCGATACTGGAAGTTCCGGTATCGGGCTAAGTATCGGGAGCATTTGGGCAAGTACGAGTACTTGCCCAAATACTCAGTATCGGCAATCGGCATTTGGAAAATTCTATTTTCTTTCTTGTCAATTGAGGGACACAGGAAGTCTTTAATCTCCAAGACATCTAAAAGAAGTCCAAATAAGGAAGGGGCAACACAGAAAACAATGGCTTTCAGGCCCAACATGAACAGAGAGATGGGGACTTATGGGTTAGCCTTTTACACTTCCACCCTTCTAGGATACTAGTAAAAAGTCATGCTGGAAGTAGGAGAGGACTTCCCCACAGTGTTTTTGTTTGCCAGTGTCCAATCCTCCTGTAGGTGGCAGAAAAACTCAAAATGTGAAAGACTTCCTGTGTCCCTCAACATGACAGAAATCATGATATACTTATTGCAGCAAAAGTTTACATATGTTGCAGCAAAGGGTTTTGAAGCCAATAAAGGCACTTTGTTCCGGGACTTTTCTTATGTTTTAAGACTTTTTTTTTTTTTAAACTCTGAAAAAAGGGGAAAAGAGCATGCGTGTTGCCAATCTAACAATTTGGACGCCTCCTTTGAGACAACAACCTACACTAGATCAATGACCGCCAGAGCCTGTCCAATGGGTCAAGCAGTCACTATTTTGCCTTTGTTTTATTTTAAATAAGTTCCAGGGTCTCCACAATGAAAATTAGTCAAATACATTTCCTGGACATTCTGTCTTTTGTAAGGCAAGCTCTTACCTAGGTCACGGACTATTTCTTTCACCATGAATTTGAGCATTCCTCGGCTATGCTCTGGATGCAAGAAGGCCAGAAACTCCTGTTCATTCAAGACTTGATCCGCTGGTGGGTTATCTGCTTGGAACCATCGGTCCTTGAGGTTTTCCAGGACTTCTTGGGCTGTAAGAGAACACGCATATGTGAATCAACAAAGTACCAGCCTAATACAGCAAAAATGTATTACTATAACTGGCACGCTGAAAAGGGGTTGGTCTTGGTCAACTTTAGTGCTCTTTGTCCCCATTTGGAATATTTCTCCTAACTTCCTGCCTATGCGATGGGTGTTGGGAAAGAAGCAGAGGGAAAATCTCCCCTCTTCCCACTTGGTAAAAATCAGACAAAACAGGAAGTGAGGGGAAATCCCTGAACAGGCACACAGACTGCAATGAAGACAGATGTTCTAATAAAGTGAGGAAAGTTTGTGACCTGTGTCCCCATGAGGGATACTATTCTCACGTCCTATCCAGCGGTTGAGTCTCAAATAGAACATTATCGATGAATGGTCACTCGCACTCCAACTTGATGCAAAGTCCATACCTTTATGGACTGGGATAGTGTCACATTTATAGTGCTATATCCCAGTCCATAAAGGTATTGACTTTGCATCAAGTTGGAGTGCGAGTGACCATTCATCGATTTTGTATTATTGGCGGAGGCATCTGCGGTCGCATCGGTACCCACCTGAGGTTTGTTTCCGGTCAGGAGTGCGGTGGGATATACTTGGACTTATTCAAATAGAACATTTACACAAGATAGATATCTTCAATGAAAACATAAGCAGTATTAAAAACTGACAGAACTGACTAAAACTTCCCCACCCCGTCCAAACCTATGAAAAGTGTTGCCTGGAGTCCAGCTTTAAGCAACAACTGCTCTCGGATACAGTGTGGGTGACATGATCGGTCTATAAAGATATAAAAGTTTAAAAAAAAATACTCTTCAATAAGCCCCCTTTTATCTGGTGGTTCAGACAAAGAAACCCACAGCAATGGGAACGTGACTCTTCAAAAGAATTGACAAACCCACAACTTCTACTGCTTTCCAGTCTATCATACATGCGGCTGATGAGATTTTGCTTGGTGTCTGAGTTGTCGGTATCTTGACACAAATTGCGTGTACAGGAGATGACGCCAACATACTAAAACTGTTCCAACTCCATACAGCCAAAGGAAGCAAGTGGCTGGTGACAAAGACTTTCCTGCAAACTCTCTGCCTCCTAAAAACACCTGAACTGTCACAATAAAAAAAAAAAAAAAGGAGAGTTTATGGGAGACCTGTGATAAAACTGAAATGCCTTAACCATGTGCTATTATTTTGGGAACAAAAAGTGCCTTTTGCAGTTTACACAAAGTTTGCTTGTTGGACAGCGGTAAAAAAAAATAAAATAAAAAAGGCTCACGATGTCTTATTTTTAGGTCTTTTGAATGCTATTATTTTGGGAACAAAAAGTGCCTTTTGCAGTTTACACAAAGTTTGCTTGTTGGACAGCGGTAAAAAAAAATAAAATAAAAAAGGCTCACGATGTCTTATTTTTAGGTCTTTTGAATGCTATTATTTTGGGAACAAAAAGTGCCTTTTGCAGTTTACACAAAGTTTGCTTGTTGGACAGCGGTAAAAAAAAATAAAATAAAAAAGGCTCACGATGTCTTATTTTTAGGTCTTTTGAATGCCAAAGTAAAAAAAAAGTTCAAATAAAACAAAAAACACATTGCGGAGTTAATTAGAAAGTGGAAGTCAACATAAAACTAGGGATGCCGCCGAAAATGGCACGTTGGGCAAAATGGCGAAAGCGCCATTTTTGGCCAAAATATCGGTGCAACCGTGATTACTCTCCTCCCCGCTGGGCGCTGCTCTGTGTCCCAGTGAGGAGGAGAGAAACTGTCACAGGAGGCCGAGCGCAGCGAGCGGCATCTCTCCTCCCCGCACCGCTCAGCCTCCTGTCACAGATCAGAGAGCGGCGGTGTGGGTAGAGACAGCCAGTGCAGTCACAGGAGGCCGGCGGGGCAGGGGAGAAGTCAGCTGTCAGATCGAGCTCTCCTCCCAGCACCGCTCGCTCAGTCTCTTGCAACAGCCGATCCAGGATGGAGAGCGGGTACAAGCAGTCAGTGATCAGTGATAATTAAGGGCGTAGTATGTTTACTGTGTCCTCAATTATGAACATTACTTCCTGTTCATTCATAATTGTGGACATGCTAAACATAGTATCTCCACAAGTTATGAATGAACAGGAACACTCAGTACAGAGGCTTCCTGTTCCTTTATAACAGGGGCTGCAGAAAAAGATTGAGGGCTCAATCTCTTTTTCTATTTTAAAAGGGAAATATCAGGGGTCTGTTTAAATCCCTAATATTTCCCCCAAGCCCCAACAGTAAAGTAAAAAATGTAAATATTTAATAATATATCAGGGGTCTGTTTAAATCCCTAATATTTCCCCCAAGCCCCAACAGTAAAGTAAAAAATTTAAATATTTAATAAAAATAAAAAGTAAAAAAAATTTAAAAGTTTATAAAAAATAAAATAATTTTAAAAAGTTAGAAAAAAACATTTTCGGTTTTGACCCGACATTTAATTTTTCCATTTCGGTTTTGAAATTTTAATTCCGTTGTACCTCTACATGAAACATTACAATACAGTCATTGAACATACTCAAAAAATATTAGAGACTTAATCATAATGATGTACCAATACTGATACTGGTATTGATGCCGATAATGAACATTTGGGCGAGTAATGCTCCGATACTTATCCCGAGATACCGGAACAACCGGTCAGCGGAAGATTCCCTCTGACTCGCAGTGACGCGAGGGAGCATGGAGCCGGCTTTCTGGCCAGGCTCCATGCTCCCTCACATGGAGGGAAACCAGGTTGCCAGGCTGGAAGCCAAGCTGACCCGCAGTGCCACGAGAGAGCGTGAAGCCGACTTCCCAAATGGCAGTGTTAGGGAATGCAGTGGTGACAAGTGCCTGGATACATCATCACTGGATGACAGCACAGAAGGAGGTAGGCAAGACACACATACACCAACGAAGTTTACTCGCACTTTAATAGCCAACATTGCAGTAATGCTAATAATAGAAATAGTATTTCAATACCTTTCTGTGGAGCTACAAATTCCTGCTTTGCCTACAGTGTCACCTACAATTAAAAGCTTGAACTACAAGCACCAATACAGAGAGAATTTATACTCAGGCCAATCACATGTGAACAGCAGGATGAGTGCTCCAATGATACCAGAGTATAGATAGATCTGTAGTTTGTGTGTTCTCCCTTGTATGCATGCAAATCGTCCAGACACCCAGTTTCCTTCCGCAAAGCATAAACCTGCTGGAATCTGTATCTGCTTTCATCCAAAACTGGTCTTAGTGGTAGATTTGCTGTTTTTGGGGGCACATAAAATTTGGGAATATCTTATACACACTTAAACTTTAATAAATGGATGAACGATAACACAAAAGACATAGGATACATACTCTCTTCATCAATCTTCAATTCCTCATTGTTCTTCACCTTCTCTGCAACCTCTTCCTCATTGAAACCCTTGCTGGCAAGAAATTTGATCTTATACTCATCCCAAGACACATGCCCTGCAATAAAAAAAAATGTGAGTTTTAATAAGGGCAATCAACCAGAGAGAAAAGGCCAAACTGTAACATGTGTAGAATTTAAATATAGCTTTATGTAATTAAATTTTGCATTCCCAGGTTCCCCCCTCCACCCCTAAAAACATGCCAATGATGTTATTACAATAAAACCTGTTTTCATGACATATCTAATATTGATGTCATCAAGGGTCTCTGTGTTTCTCAAGCGGTATATTGGCTCTTGTAAGGAGTTATGCATATATAAGAATGCCTTGATGGGTAAGTGGCCAGTCTGGGGGAGTGGGCGTCTCTAGGCAGGCAGCATTTGCATGCAGATAACGCCCACATGTTCCCTAAATAACTCCCATATGTGATGCTGTGCCGCCATGGTTAAAAGAACTGAAGTCCAAATAATAAAAAGGGCCGGCCAAAGGCAGGGAAGGAAAGTGCTAGATAATGCTGGATGTCCTCCAGCCAGGAAATGAGGCGGGCTCCGAGTTGCCGCCGCTTCTAATGCATTCTTGGCATGTGCACAGCCTCTTACCCCGTGCTATTTAGGACAATTCTGTTCAATTCTGTCAATTCAGCAAATAGCTGTGCATACATTTTGGCTTTTGTGGTTGGTGAATAGATTAGAATGGGACCATGAAGCAATGTGATCAGCATAAATGCAGAAATACACACACACAATTATGATAAAGATTTGATACATTTATATAGTCTTACAGATACCTTTTGAGGGCAACCATAATGTTGATGCGGCCCACAATTAAATTGAGTTTGACACCCCTGATAGATGGTCTCCACTCTACTAATGAGGAGTTTTACTTCTCATTTCCTGTCTCTGAGCCCCTAGGATGGTAAAGTATGGATGTGTCTATATCTATGTATTACACACACATCCATACTTTACCATCCGAGGGGCTCAGAGACAGGAAATGAGAAGTAAAACTCCTCATTAGTAGAGTAGAGACCATCAGGGGTGTCAAACTCAATTTAATCGTGGGCCGCATCAACATTATGGTTGCCCTCAAAAGGTATCTGTGAGACTATATAAATGTATCAAATCTTTATCATAATTGCCTCTGCATACGATTATCACTGGTTTTAGTAATAACTGAATACCTAGATCTGAAAGTAGAAGTCTAGGAAATGGCCTAGTGGGCCGGATTCGGCCCCTGGGCCTTGAGTTTGGCATAAGTGATCTAGATAGTCCAAACCATAGTCTGCATGTAACCAGCCTGGAGGACCCTCTATGGCTCCTTGATTGAATATCACGACAATTCATAGCAGCAGGAATTTGAACGAGCAAGATTAGACTTTCCATTTTGTCTTCATATTCACTGGGGCTGAGGTTTCCTGCTGCCCTCTGGGTTCCATTGGAGGGATGTGAAGCAGTTCATGGTTTTATGCTGCATATTTGGCACTGTATTGTATTGATCTGGTCTTTAGTAACTTAAAAGTCCGGTTTGGTTTCTCCTGAATCTTACTTATGTCAAAATCAACACTGAATTTGCTCATCTCCCCACCCCAGCTTTACAGCTTGGCTTGCAAGGCAATTCCTCTAACAGTTGGTTATCAGAGAATTTAGAGTGAACCATCTCCTACCGTCTCCATCTGGATCCACAGCCTGGAAGTGAAGCTTATTCTCCCTCACGGCCTCCTTGAAATGCTCTTCCGTCTTATCCATGATCCATTGCTGCATTTCCTGGGCACTGATTTGGTTGTCTTTGTTCACATCCACTCTTGAAAAGAAGAGGTAAAGCACATCGGTTTGTCACAGGTGAAAGCCTGTTCCAATTATACTTTTACAGGCCTTGCAGCCTTTACTGGTGTACAAAGAGGCTGCAGGCAATCAGCAGTGCTGATACTCAACATAAGATAAAGTGGTTTATGATACGCAGTGCTTTAGCAAACAAAATGTCATTAGTTAGATCTAAATACAGCTACTTGAACTTAAGACAATGCAGTGTCACTCTCTTGGTTGTGCTGTCTGCCAAAGGGAAATGAATCACAAAAAACCATTGGGTTGAATTACAAATCCTTTGGCAAATAAGACAACTCACCTATGTGTATTTCAACTGTGTTTTTAGCTATTTGCCCAGAGTTCAGCTTTAAAATAGAACTCCAGGTTTTGTTTCCCCATATCTAAGTCCCCACCCCCAAATACCAGGCTTCACTTACCTTTTTCCTCAACTTCCTGCTCGGTGAAATGGGGAAACATTAAAAAAAATTAACCCTTACAGGTGGGCTACCCCCACATTGCAAGTAGGGATGTTCAGATACCAGTGCCAATACTCTGCATTTTCATGAGAACTACCAGGGTTGCAGCGGTTGCAGCTGGGACCTGGCTCTGGCGCTCCACCACTGTCCTGAAATCATTAGTCTCTATTGTTGTAGAAAAACTGTCACATGACAATAAACAAAAATGTATCAGTACTTGTATCTGTGAGGACTTGGACAAGTATCAGTACTTGTACTTGGAAATCTGGTATCGGTGCATCCCTAATATAGGTTTATTAAAAAATAAATAAATATCAAACATTAAAACAGAGATGTACAAATCCCGGGAGCCCTGTATGCTCCTTACAAATGACAGCTGCCTCCTAACATTTGAGTTTTTCTACAAGTCACCATTCATGCGATGATGTCAGCGGCGCTTAAATTGCCAGAATACAGGGGAGAAGAGGACAGATGATTGGGTGAGCATATCTTTTTTTATATTAGGCCCAAGCTTAAAAAAAAGAGCACTTAACCCTTGGAGCGCAGGAGAAGCTCTGCTGCAAGGATTAATTGTTTAAATGCCCGGAGTTGCTAGGTAAAGTCACCAGATTGGCTGGAGTAATGCACGAGAAGGTTATGTATGTACTTTTTTTTTTTAGCAAAAAAGAAAGAAAAAAAAAGTCTAGGTGGGTTCTGGTGGCGGGGAAAGGCAGGGGGAACCAAGTGGCCAGACTTCCGCTTAACACTCTACTTTGGGTCAGTACACCACGGCACCACTGTTCAGTCTTTTCACCTAAAAGGACCTGCAGAAGATTTTCGCTGTAAAAGGTAACATGTGGCTACATTTGGAGAGGAGTGGAACTTCCTACATCCGTACGAGGCCCGTTCAGAAATATAGAAGATGATGTGGTTGTGTGGGCATGCTTTGAGCAAGGCTTCATTTCCCCATATCAGATACTCGCTTAGCAGGATGACAAACAGCAACAGGTGACGAAGCTGCTGGGATTTTTTCTAGATCTTCAGAATAAAGAAAAACAAAGTCTTTCAGAAGAAAACGAAAAATTGTTTACAATATAAAAGTCAATCAGTGGCCATCTGACCTGTATGAACCCATGAATGACTGATGACAAGGCTCCTATGAGACCAGTAAGCAGAGAAGTGTGGGTTCAGCGTGGGGCAAAGTACAACCAGAACCCACTCATATAATCCACTCTCATAGAAATAAAAGGAAAAGTCTATTTCTAGTCAACAATTTAAGCTATTTTTGCTATGCTCATCTCTGATGGATAAAGAAACATTCATACAAAGTTTCCTTACCCTTTTGCCCCGACCCCCAAACCACTACACTTGCTTAGATGTCTTTTGCAGGACAACAGCATTGTTTAAATTCCTCCACTGGCTTTCTAATCCAATGCACATGCTTATAAAAGGCCCCATTGATTTTTATTGGGCCTGGAGACAGATCAGATCCCATCTCTCTACCGACGTTAAAGGAGAACTATGAGGTGAGTGATTTACAATCATACCGTGTTTCCCCAAAAATAAGACCTAGTATTATTTTTGGAAATTGCTAAAATATAAGACCTACCCCGAAAATAAGACCTAGTTGTGACCATTCCCAGGGCCAGTGGTGGCATAAGGGGGAACTTGAAGAGCCGCGGGAGAGAATCAGCAGTGCCAAGGAAGCCAGCGCTAGAGGAAGCAAGGCAGGAGCGGAGGGAGCAGAGCCGCATAAGCCGATGCTTCCTCTATAGCGCCGGCTCCTGTCACAGGCGGAGTGATACCAAATGCACTCCGCCTGTGAGGAATCAATAGTGGAAGTGCGCTTCGCTCATTCTGGCCAGCGATTGGTTACCAAATTGCTCTTGGAAAGGTACGGCACATGAATACATGTAGACTGTTGTACATGAATAAGTGTGGATTGTTGTACATTAAAAAAAAAAATAAGCCCTACCCCGAAAAAAAGACCTAGTGTGTTTTTTTTGAGCCAAAAAATATAAAGACAGTGTCTTATTTTCGAGGAAACGCGGTAGTTAGAGCCGACGTGTGACATTAAAACTGTCACACATCGGCTCTATTGATTGGGAGGTGAGTAAACGCATACCATCGCTCGCTCACTTCCCGATCATCTCCCTGCAGTGATTGTCAGTCACCGCTCCCCGCAGAAATTCCCTCCCCTCTGACAGGGCTAAGTGGAGGAACGGACGGGGAGGGGGCAGGCACAGCTGGCTCTGTCTCTAGATAGGCAGAGCCCGCTGTCACTCACGCAGCTGGGTGGATCGTGACAGTAGGGTCGGGATCCGTCCCGAGTGCAGCGATCTCAGTATATAGCGGGCAATAGTTAGTATATGTCCTCCTGTAACACTAAAGAGAAATATGGGATAAAAAGGTTACCCTACAGTTCTCTTTCAAAGAAGCGAGGGGAGCTGAACTGTGCACATGTGTGTGCGTTCAAGATGTTGGATGAGGAATGTAAACAATGCCAAGGGGTTTGAAGCAAGATTTAAGTAAGTACAGCAATTAGGTAGGGAAAGGTGGGACACAAGGGGGTAAGGAAACTTTGTGAGAGGAACTGAATGGTTGTGCACCAAAGAAAAGCTGACATAGGACAAAGGCCTAGCCACTAGCATTCAAATGGCAAAAGCACATGATTGGTTGTGGTCTCCCTGCAGCTGATCTTTCATCCATTATTGCTGTGCCGTTTTTTGTTCTGCAGTGCGTCTGTGTGGAGGTGGCCATCTTGGTAGGAGGCATGGCTTTGCTTCTTCATCTCGTCCGAACGTCCAACAAGGGAAAAAAAATAAAAAATCAGCTGCATCTCAATCTCCTAGCACTAGCTGTCCAAGGCAGCAGTGCCTGAGATCTCAATCGGCAGATTAAAGTGACATTAAACTCAGATTTTAAATCTTAAAAATGACTTCAAGTACCTTAACTATTACCGAAAATATTAATTTGTGAATCACTCGGCTGTAGATCCTCAAATCATCTCTGAATTGGTGCTGACACTGTCCTTCCTTCTGGAGGGTGTCTACGTTTGTCCCCCATGGTCCCTATGTTGTAAAAGTAGCCACTGCTCCAAATTCGCATCTGTGATAGACTATAATCTCTTTCAGAGATTATTTGAGGTTCTACAGGCGAGCGATAAACAAGTGAGATAATATTTTGTTAAATAGGGTATTTAAATGCATTTTTAAGATTTAAATTCTGAGTTTAGTGTCACTTTAAGGGCGCAGGAGTGACTAGGCATACTCGCATACCCGCCTCAATGCACTACATTTCTCAAAAGAAAGTCCAAAAAAGTGATTTTTCAGGGATTGGCACATTTAACATTTCCAGATGCACCCTATAAGATTGCAAATCTTCACTTTTAGGTTTGATTTTTTGCCTTTTTTATTACTGTACATTTGAATTACTGTAATGCTGCATAGACAGGGAAGGATGTGTTTGTGATTCATCTGATGAAATATTGTGCTGCAGCCGTTTTCACACTTAGATTGCCAAGTTATGACTGTGCTGGCTCATTGCAATGTTGATTTTGGAGAAAGAAAACAAAAAACTAAACAAAAAAACACAAAAGCTTGCCTATACCTGACCATATTATTTCATACCTGAACCTTTTTGGAGGGAAAAATATACATATGCTGGGTTGGATCTTTCCTGCCTGGTCACTATTGTTTTAGGTCAGGGCCCATTCACACCAGCCTGTCCGCTTAAACATTGTGTTTCAGTAGACGGGAAAAGCTGCGAGAGTTTGCGTTGAATCGTGCACTGCCGAAACGGTCATTGTTTACCTTTTTTTTGTTTCTTTTTTGTTATGTGGAATGTAAAAATGTGTACACGCCATTCAAGTCCTTGCACTGCAGGATGGTGCAGTGACATGCAAAATGCAGCATGTTTGCATTTTATTGCATGGGACATATATAAAATGGTTTCTATGTGTCAATGCTGATCCGGTGCGGTACACTGCAGGTACCACTGAGTGAATGGCCCCTGAGGGATGTCTAATAAGCATCCACACCCACATGAAGATCAGCACAATGGCGTAGTGGTTAGCACTTCTGTCTTGCAGCACTGGGGGACCCTGGTTCATATCCCGGTCTATCTGCAAGGAGCTTGTATGTTCTCCCCGAGGTAGTCCGGTTTCCTCCCACACACCAAAAACATGCTGGAAGTTTAATAAACTCCGGTGCTGTATGTATGTATGTATGTATGTATGTATGTATGTATGTATGTATGTATGTGAGAGATAGGGACCTTAGATTGCAAGCTTCTTGAGAGCAGGGACTGGTGTAAATGTGCACTATATAAAGTGCTGTGTAAATTGTCGGCATTATATAAGTACCTGTAATAATCATAATTAGGGATGCACCAATACAGTTTTTTCGGTATAGAGTACCGATACTTTGGTTTCGGTACTCGCCGATACAGAGTACCGATACCGGTGCTTTCACTGTCACGGGGCCATCTTCCAGGGCAATCAGGAACCCGGGCGGCATGCAAGGACATGCTGTCCGGCTTCCTG